CTCCTTGTTGGCATGACAGAGCCAGAGGTCACATTGCTCGTGGCTGTCTGCAGAGTGATGCTCTGCACTGAGCCGGGAGCAGAGACCTCCACTGAAACCAGCTGAAATATCCCTAGGGGACAGGGAATAGGATGTCAAAGCAAGCAACTGCTCCACACACAGAACTACAGGGATGCAGAGGGGATGAGCACACCCAATGCAGGGACTTAGAGGAGTAGCTCTGGGGACATAGAGTCCTTCTAAGGAATGACAGTCAATGGTCAGACAGGAAAGGTCCACAGCAGTCACTCCTGCAGCCAGAGAGAGGGAGGGAGGTTGTTCAGTTTGCTGCTCAGAGGCAGCATGGTTGTGGTGGTTCAGGAAAGCAAATGCAGAACATAGTGAAAACAGGCAGACACGAATCCTGCCTGCTTTCTCCTAGTGCTGATGCAATGTGCTGCCTTTCAAATACACAGTCCCTTAAGAGATCCAGCCCCTTTCTTTAATGCAATAGCACAAACATCTTCCCAGATCAGGTGACACAAATAGCAATCTTCAAAACCTTGCTTTAAGCCAGATCCATACTACCAACTGCCAATTTCTCTGGGGAAAAACAGCACGCATAAAACAAGACCCCTCTCTCTTCCCAGCACAATAACCATGTGGGCAGAAGCTGCAGGCATCAACAATTAGACCAAAGCACATCAAGAACAGCAGACCTTGCTCAAAAGATGCAGTGGGCTATGACAGCAGGATCTCCATCTTGTCCATATAAGCTGTGTCACCACGATAAGAGCTTGGCTTAAAGAAAGCAATGGCACACTGGGAAAGCATTCCCACTCCCCCATCTGGCTTTATGAGGGATGGGGATAAAGGAACTTGAAAGCAGAAGAGTGAGAAGGGCAAACAGGCAATATCAACACCCAAGAGTCATGAGGACAACAAAAGTATTTTCAGCACTGCTTAGCAATCATATGCAGTGAACACAGGACAAACATGCAAAGATAACCCTGGGAAAGGCAGTAACCACTGTACAAAGAAGCATGGAGAAAAACGTTCTGCATCTCATGCTTAGCAAGTCAGTCTCGGGCTTCCTGAAGCTAATCTGTATTTGGAACAGAGGGCAGACACCCAGCTCCATGCTGGAAGGACATGAAGCGAGAAGGCAGTGCCAACCGCAGGCCTGCAGGCTCAGAGAAAAGCTATTTCATACTGCAAGCCTTTGCTCTACAAGCTTGGCACCAGCTTCACAAATCTCACCCTCTCTCTGTTGCAGAGCATGTACACACATGCGCGTTTCTTTTTCGTTCCTTGATTTTTGTTTTTCTCTTTTTAGCCAACTTTCTAGCCAAGGCATCACGCCTGCCCCCCCAACTCACTCCCCTAAGTAACCCAGAGAGCTGCCAACAGGACGAGGGCTGCAGGCAGAGGGGTGCCTCCTGAGAAGGCCACACTCAAGGCTGCTCCTGCACACACCAACTCCCCATATGGCTGGCGAGATGAGGAGTCCTTCCCAGCAAGAGCCTGAGCTGCAAAGGGCAGAGGAGAGAGGCCGAGAGCTGCAGTTCCAGGCAGCAGGCACTCCCATGATGAATGGAGAGCTACCTTGAGAGGCCAGCTGCCCCACACCACAGTCCTTCAAAGCTAGGGCATCAGGACCAGCAACACACTTGTGAAGATCAAAGTTGCAAAGGGACACAGGGACTCCCTCCCTCTCTCTCTCCCTACCTGGAAACCTGCATTTTGGTTTCCAGCTCAGCCTGCAAGCAAGCTTCAAGCTCCCCAGGCTCATTTCCAGAGCTGAGAGGAACAGCAGACAGCTGTGCTGAGACCAGACACGGGCAAACCTTCCTCTGACTCACACAGCATCCCAGAGGCCATGGCCCATTCGAGGCTCTGCTGCTCCCCCCACAATACCTCCTGAGCCATCAGGCAAGACCTGGGACCCTGCAGAGCCAGTTCAGGCAGTAACAAACCTGTCCCTTTGCTTCAGGCTCCAAGAAGGGCCTCCACCTCCTTGTGTGAGATGCAGCATGGAGAACAGGCAGCCGGCTGGCACACCAGCTGCTCGCCACAGGAGCTGCAGGCCAGAGGAGACGTTTGCTGGTGGGCAGAGTGGGGCTGCTGGGCTCAACACAGCGGGCTGCCAGGCAAGCTCTTGACGGCAAGGAGGTAGAACGGGAGCCGCCTGAGGGACTGCCACCAAGGATTGTTCCCTCTCTCCTTAGTTCCCACCCCCTGGAAAGCAGCTGCCAGATTAAAAAAGCTTTTACGGTGCTGTCATTCAAGGACATGGAGACAATCTCCATTTTCCAATCATCATCATCATCTTCTCTCATCTATGCACCACAGAAAGCCCTGGGGAAGATCCGGCCCCAGCCTCCAGCAAGCCCTCTCATCCCTGCCGCCGTTATCCACCGTGGAGCTCTCTGATGCTTTGATATGCAAATCAGCCACAAGATCCATAACCAGCACCGTCTGCAATTAACAGCGCGCAGAGTATCCTACACCCAGGGCCTCCTCCGGCACGAAGTAGGCACCCCACGGCTGCGCAGGCTTCACGTCAGACAGCGCAGGTCCTGGCTGTCCTTCCTGGGAGCAGGAGGTGCCGCCCACAGAGCCCTTGCGTCCCCAACATACAGCCAGGATGGAGATGGGACCCTTACAGAAAGGATGTGGGCTGGGGTTGCACCTCGGTAAGGATGGGGAGGGTGGCAGAGGAGCTGCAGGCAGGACACGGCGGGGCTCTCTGTAACCAGAGGCACTCCAGCTACCCTGGGCTCAAGGAAAGCGTAATTAGCAACAGACAGAAAGCAGGCCCTCGGCACTGCCGGCTCTCAGGATTTTAGGGCAAATCTCACACTACCTGGGATTTTCTTAAAGTCTTAGTTCCCAGAATGAAGCAATTTCATGACAGTATTTTTTTTTTAACGTAAAAATTTATCAAAAAACCCCAAACAAGTTCCTAGCCCATTTTATTGCTGAAGAAAGACAAAAAATAGGACCAAGGGTATTTTAAAAGCCTAGAAGGAGAAACAAAACACAAGAAGCAAAGCAGTCAGTATTTTTCTTTTTTTGGCTCAACTCATGACCTCAGGACATTTCAGGACAGTTGTGTTGTACTCTGGTCAAAGGGGAAGAAAATGAAGCATTGCAAAGCCTCATGGCAATGCCTTCTTAAAACCGACACCCTCAGAAAATACAGTAGCTTCAGTTCCTTCCAAGGTTACCGAAGACAGGAACAGACAAAAATAGAGCAAACTTTGTGCAACAAAACATACACATGAGCCAAACCAGAGTCTCTTCCCAACCCCGCTCAAGAGGAAAAGGGCCTTTCCTAGGTAGGTATCAGCTAATTGCAGTCATTAGAAGCAACGTCCTTAATGCTTTGCTATTTCTGGTTTGAACAGTCAGTTATGGGCTAAGTGGTTGGCTTTCTGCTCTCTCAAAAGCTTTAGAATAAAGGGCTATTAGGGACCATGCAGCACGGGTGGTACCAGTTTCTACAATGCATTTGGGAAGGCTTTGTCCCACACCCAGCTGGGGCATCCGCAGGACCATCCAAGAGGCACCTGAGCCACGCAACCCTTCAGTGGCTTTTGTGACCGTTGCTAACAGGATGCTCCTGCCCTACAGCCAGTGGCCTCCCACACCTGCTTACTCCAGGGGACGACACGATGGAGCAGCACACTTCCACACTAACAGATAAATATGGGGCAGGGGGGTGGGGCTCCTCGTGGACTATGCACAACTAAATTAGCTACCCTGAGCATGATCGATTGGCCTTTTGCTTCCAACTTCTACTATATAGGGAAAAGCAAGGGAGGGAGGCAACCAGAATCACAAATCCCCAAAACACCTAGCCTCCATCCAGTTGAGACTTATCAAACCTACTACAGGCACTGGGCTGACTGCAGCCACGTCACAGATTTTTGGCACGATGCCTCCAGCAGGTAGCTACGTACAGGGCACACTCTAAAACTGGAGGAAAACCATGGTTTGCCGATGTGAAGGGGCTGGTGATCGAGACATGATTAGAAAGGGACTGCTTGGCTACGCGGCCACAGCCACAAGCCCTATCTGACAGCGCTACGCCAAGTTCTCCAGGGTAGGAGAGGCAGGGCGGTATCAGAAATTTTCCTGCTGTTCCCACCCTTGAAACATCCCTCCTGCCTCCCTGCTGCTCTCCGCCACTACCGTGCCCGGAGGAGAGGCAGGGCGGAGGACAGGCAGCTCTCTCCAAGATCGAGCGCGCACAAAGGCGGCCGCGGCACCTCCGACGGCGCTCGCAGGTGATGGGAGCTGGCAGAAACGGGTCCGACGACACCCGGGGGGCAGAAACCACGTCAGCCAGCACCGGCCGAGGCGAGGAACGGCAGAGGACGGGCACCCGAGAGGCGGGCGAGAAGCCTCGGAGCCCCCCCGCAGCCCCGGCGGGCCTGGGGGGAGAGGGGGTGGGGCGGGGCACAGGCCT